AAAGTCAACAAATGAATAACCTTTGGACCATTTTCTCAGATTTGTGAAATTAGAGTCAGAATTCTTTTTCTTTTATCCAGTTGCACTAATTTCCTAAAACAAACATCATTTTTTGGGTTTTTTTTTTTTTTGCACCTCACAGATTTCCCTAGAATGAGACAGCACCATCCCCCGCTTTACTGGCTGTGTATGCATGGGCTCCTCGCACACAAATCCACTTCCCCACCCACTTCCTGTAAACCACGGGACAACACTTCAAGTCTCATGCACTTGTCATCTTGAGAGACAGCAACATATCCAGGTGGACAAAAGTAAAATTTACTGTTCAAAGTTATTTTTCAGTGGACAGTAAAACAACTGGCCTTCACAACTGACTGAAAGTGTTTCCGCGTGAACTCAGGTTGGTGAGTGCAAGTCACATCACTTATGGGACACTCATTCAGTTTACCGTTTCTAATTGTGCAGCATCAGCATGCTGATTTTTGGTAACGTCTGACACAAGTCATATGAATACCCCCATACACACACACCTACACACACACACACAGACCCACACACACACACACACAGCCCTTTCCAGGAAATCATCTGCTTTATTTTATTTTTTTTTTGTGACCACAAAACGTACAGCACACACAACGTAACGGGAAAAAAATGGGTGTGACTGGAAGGTCTTCTTTTCTTCTCTCTTACCTTCTGCATTGCAAAATGTTTGCAGTGGCCACTGAAAATTCCCAACCACAGAAGAAATACCGATCAGATCCTCACACGAATAATCAAATGAATATGAAGCTGCGGGTAACTGATTGTCATTTGCAATCAACCTTATCTCTCCTGCAGAAGAATAAAGATTTAATCAAACGTCCTGAGAGAAGCAGCTTCTCGGCAGGGGGGAAAAATGTCTGCCCACTTCCTGATTCTTACGCTCTTTATAAAAAAATTTTTTGGCATGTTTGTCACACTTCAAAGTTTCAAAAGCAGTTTCAAGTATTAGTCAAAGACGTGCATGTGCAATGCAAATGAGATGCAACTAACTTAAAACGTAGGTGTTTTTCACTGTTATGGGGGGAAATAAGTAGGTAAGTGAATAAGAACAATCAACCTGAAATGCTTTTGTTTAAACGGTTAAATCCTGGAAACATAAAAGGAGTTGTTAGTAGCGTTCTCTTCTCTGATACATCCTGTTAGTCAGCTCCTTCACGATAATGACTGAGGTTCTTGACGGCGTTAATCCCAGTGGAAGCTCTGTTTAGACTGTGAATACAGAGTGAGTGCGTAAAGTCAGAGGTTCTACCCACATGTTGAATGGTTTGCTGCTTGGACCCAGGCCAGGCCATTGTTTTTTCAAGTGAAAGGATGAATCAGCGTTGTTAGAGGGACTGACGCGTGTCGGCCATAAGCCCTGCTGGCTTATCTGCACCGTCGTGTTTCTATTGTTCTGCCTCTGCAAAAAGTTGCAAACACTTTTTGATCTGGTCTCGATCTTTCAGTGAATTTAGCAAAAGAAGAGAGAGGACAAAGAAGTGTCCAGCAGGTCATGTCCTGTGTTTTTTTGTTTGTTTGTTGTTGTTTTTTTAGCTTTTACAGTGTTAAACCCTCACGTCGTAGAATGCTGCACCTGTTGCTGTTTATATTCGGAGTCGCATAATCTCTCTAAGTGTGACATGAAGCAAAAGAAATGGTGGGCGTGAAAGCCACCACAGAGCTGTCAGAGTGGTTATTCAGGCCTGACGACATCAACCACACACACACTACCTGGGACAAGTGTGTGTGTGTGTGTGTGAGATACACACACACACACAAAGCACATCTTATCTCATCTTAGATTACTGTGACAGATTGCTACCATAAGAAGATCACAGGCGAAACATTTCAGAGCAAATGCCTCTGTGCACATGAAATAAGATGAAACTTACATGTCAAAAATATATGAGAAATAAATCCTTAATATTGATGAGAATGTATTAGTTATTACTATTGGGAAATTAATTCACTTATAACAAGATATCATTCCCATGTTACACGTGAAATGATCAGCCCATGCGACTAAAACTTTCTCATCGATATTAAAGTTTTTTTTTCTTTTGCTTAAAAGCTTGTATTTCTTCCTGCTGCGTTATGGGTGAGTAAGAACACTTGGAGCAAGACGAAACCAAGATAAGAAAGGGAAAATTCGCTCGCTTTCTGTGGACAAAGGAGAGTGCGTTACTCAGACCAGCTTTCATAGTCATCTTTTTTTCTTTTTTAAATCATAGAAAGTCTTCAGCCACTTCTCCTTTGCTCATACGAATCAAAGCACACTTCAGGAACGTCCCTTATGTGCTCATGTGAAATTATGTGCTTTCACGTGCAAAATTCGACACTATTAACTAAACATTTGCGCATGCACTGAATTATGACAGATCTGATTTTAAACAGTGTCAACAGTTTGCTTGTTTTAGTGCCAGGATTACTCTCATATGAACCGGAGGACCTGGCTTATCAAGGCTCAGATAAGCCTTCAGTAATACATTGTACAAGCGATATATTACTGAAGGCTAAAGACAAATACAATCAAGGCTAAAGAGCATTACTGAAGGCTCAGGTAAGGCTTGAAGGAACACATCCTCTGGCTACCATTACCAGTCAGGGAAAAAAACCCAAAAAGGCCTTAGTGTGTCACTCTCAATGGCATAAAACAATAAGGTGTGTAGTTTTACGGGTTTACAGTGTTTACTTTACACCATGACAAAAGGATTAGAGAGAAGAGCACATACCAGCATTCTTTAAAAAAGACTAAAATAAACACGCAGTTTCACTGCCTGAGATAAATCAGGTGACACTAATACCTCACCTAGGCCTCACTGATGAATTGACTAAATGAGGTCAAAGGTCACATGGCACATTGAAACAATGTCATCTGCTTGATGTGGCATTGAATCTTCAAAGATCTAAAAGAGATCTGAACACACTTGTAACTGTGCATTGTTATAAAAGGTTATGCATGTCATCATTTTTCTTTCTTTTGTTGTTTTTATATATAATAAAAGGACAGATTTAGACAATCCTGTTTCCCACCAGCAACAATTGTTTGCCGAGTGTCATTTTTCATCAACGTGACCGACATAAAATGTAATAATTCGTAAATATCTTGTGTTTTGGAGGTCCAAGGATTGAAATGCTTGCACTTATTCAACAGGAAAAAATTGCGGATTAAACAGGTTAGTCGTCAACACTGCGACAGCAAGGTAGCAAGAGCTACAAAAAATTACATTTCATGGGTCAGTAAAAAGTTTTTCATTTCATAAACAGGTTAGATAAATTGTAGTTTAACTTTGTATCAATCGGTGCTGTGTTTCAGTTCAATTGACACGAAACTAAAGCGACTCACACACATCTACTTTCTGACAGGTTATCACCGAAGCGGAGTTTAAATTAGCCAATCAACCATCGCTTCTTTATGATTGCAAGAGAAATATCAGTGTTGAAAATCTCAAAAGCATCAAATTGTCATGGACTGGATGTTCTGCTGTTGTGTTTTTCCGATGATGCTTTTGAGGACTTCATAAAATAAGGTAATAAAAAGGAAGCTATGACTACGATGATTCTTGACAAAAAATATATTACTGAATTGTGTAAATGTGTTCAACTGCAGGCAAGCAGTGAGCGAATAAACAAACTCGTTCAATAAATTAGAATATGAAGGAAAAGTTCATTTTTTAGTAATTCAATCACCAAGTGAATATGAACATTCTGTAGATTAATTACCTGACTGATGCTTTAACACATTTATATATTTTAGTATGTTTAATACCTGCTGAAAGGTTAATTTAGCAGGTTATCTGAAAGTCTCATCAGGATTTGTACCCTAATTTATTGAATATTAGGGTTAATTGATTCTGTATGCAACACACAGTTACGCCCTGGACTGGATTTCATACTTTTTTCAAAGTAGTGTTTAAACTGCGCCTGAAGCACACCGCACTAATCAGGTGTTGCGCAAACAAAGAAACTGACAAAATACATTTTCTGTTTACAGTATGAACAGAAACCTCTATGCCACCATCACCACAAATCATGACATCATGACTCTCACCCAAGGGTTGCTAGAGCGTCCAATAAATGAACCATCACAGCAGAACAGAGACACAGGCCTTCAATGCATGTTAAAACACGTTAAATACATGTTAAATACACAAAAAACAGACAGACAGAAGAAGTTTGTGTCTTAAAAAAACAAAGAAGAGCTTTGAGGAACTGAATTAATGTCTGATTAAAACATGTCAGAGCATAACATGCCCTGTTCTTTTAAAAAAATCCCCCTCTCTGATTCATGTCCTACCACTTCCCTCTTATCACTTGCTAAAGTAAAAAACACTCTTTTTTTAATGAAGATGATTTCTGACAGTTTGACAAAAAAAAAAAAAAAAACATAAAAAAACCACTCCACTCAATTTGAAGTATCGTCTTTTTAAATACTTAAAAAGTAAATGTTGGAGCAAGGAGCTGAACCTAGTATAAAGTGCCTCCTTAAACTATTCTCTGAATGAGTGGTCTTTGTTTTCTAACTTCTGCAATATTTCAGTTTTTATGAATGAAGTTTACTTTGAACTTCTGAGGAAGTGTCAGGTTTCACAGCTAATCTGTCAACAGGATTCACACTTGAGATCACAACATTTTCATTTTGGGTTCATGCATTCGGTCACAGTTTGAATAACCGCTCTGGGTGTTTCTTATAGCTGCCTTTTGCTTTAAAGCCACAGACACATTTTTAAAATGTGTTTTTTTGCTTATTGGTGAGATAGGCCCACATTGTTTAGGGTACTGCTGCAGGAACAGTGATGTCATGAGATCAAAGATCATGACATCGCTCATGTCATGACGATGTCACGGTCAAAGACTTTGACTCTGTCACAGTCCCTGTCAGAGTCATTGAGCTCCAAGAGTTTCATGGTAAGGTTACTTTCTGTGATTATACGTTTGGAGACGTGAAACGATTGCTATCCAAAAGCAAGAAGAAAATGAAACGTTCAGCACAAGAATCGTGGTCCAAGGCCAGGTCGGATGAATTAACCGACAAGGATCCGCGATCCCGACTCATGGGTGAAGGAGCCAGGAACATAACATGGCTGTCCACTCGGCAAGAGGGCAACCGAGGGCAGAAAGTTCAATACAATGAGAAAGATTTAAGGACACAACTAGAGAATATGAAGAAGGAAATGAAACGGCTGGAGGCAAAATGTTTTAAACTTTCGAACAAAAATAGAGGGAGTGTGACCAAACTTCGGGAAATTACAACTATAAATCTGGATCTAGAAACTCAGTTAAAAATCATGGAACGAAGTCATGCAGAACGTACAAGTTCTCTATTGTCTGAAACGGCGCGGAGGCGCGAGCTGTCTGACGAAGTGACAACACTGAAAGAGTACAAAGAGCGAGCACTGGACGCAGAAAAACTGGTGAAAGAGCTTATGGACAACAACCAAAAATTGAAAATACACCTGGAGACATCTCAGCAAAAAGCAGCAGCATATAAAAATGAATCAGAGGTCCATAAAGCCGACTCTAAAAAGCAGTTCGATCTGGTGAGAAGTAGAGATCACATGATTTGCAGTCTTAAGGTCGCATTGGATGCAAAACAAAAGCAAATCGATGCTCAGAAGGAGGAGCTCAAGAGACAACGGCGAGTTGCACAACAGACAGAACTGGAGGCCAAAAGAAATCGCCAGAATGAAGAAGCATCAATGAAGCGGATAAGGCACAAAGACAAAGAAAATCTGAGCCTACGAGCAGAAATCAGGACATTGACCAAGGCTTTGGGTGATTCTGAGAGGAAGTTGTCAAAACAAGATTCGAAACAGCACATCCTCCAGGAGAAAATTGAAAATGCTCAGACGGAAAATGCATTCTTGCAGAAAAAAACCCAAACACTGGAATCTTCTACAATGAATCTTGATAGAGAGGTTATTGAAACCCAGACACTCCTCCAAAAATCCCAGAAAGAGAATCAGCAGCTTAAGAATCAATTGGAGAAGGTCAAGATAAGGCTGGCTGAAACGATTCAGAATAGCATTGAGAATAAGACCAAATTTGAAAAAGACCTCCTGCGTATAAAGGAGGATTATATGAAACTGAAGATGGAGAGAGAAGACGTTCTGACAAAAAACAGAAGAGCCACAGAAGCACTATACTGTAATGACAGAAAAATTGGAATACAGACTGACATCATTCGCGAGCAGGAATGTAGGATTATAGAACTATGTAAGGAAGTTCTGAGACTCAATGAGAATGCGCAGAAATTTAAAATGGTTAAAGAAACTTACTCTAAGGTGGAAAAGTTAGGGCTTGATGAAGAGACAGGAGATCTTATAATTCTCCCTGAGGACAACAAAAAACTGGAAAAACTCAGAATGTATCGCATTGAGAACCACAGATTGTCCAAACAACTGGAAGAGAAAGAGTCAGAAATTAAGGATCTCAAGCTTGAGGAGGAGAAACTGCTCCATGTGGTGAAGAATCTCAGGTCTAAGTTAGACCGACTGCCGGAAGACGCAATGGATAAAGTGCAGGAGAGTCAGACCAACGTTAGAGAACTCAAAAGACAGATACAAGTCCAAGAAGCAGAGATAAGTGTATATGTAAAAAAAATACAAATGCTAGAAATCGACATCAAAAAGTTGAAAAATAAGCCTGCAGATATATCATTTTCAAAGAAAGATACATTTCTGCCCATTCCATTAAAAAATATCAAACTGAAATCTGAGGACACAAAGCCAAAAACTACGAAGAAACCCCTCAACATTGTCTATCTACCGCCTCTTCAAATCAGTTCATATGGAAAGGCAAAAAAGTAAAAAGGATTTGGTTGTTAAAGCTTGACTGCTGGGCTGCCACCTTGTCGTGGTGGGGGGGTGGCCCACAGTAAGAGGCGTCGGGCAGGAGAGGGCACATTTGTTGCCCACTCCTGCAATAAGCATGTCATCGGTCATCAATCACATACATCGGGGTAAACCCGATTACCGAGAGGGTAGCCTCCTTCCGCCTTCGGGTGGGTGGACGGGTGACAACCGTTTTTTGCTTACGGGCTGAACGGCAGTTCAGATTACCCATCCTTCCTGGAGTTCTTGGACGTGGTACTGGAGAGTGCCACTCCTGGGGACTCCCTTGTTCTGCTGGGAGCACTTCAACGCTCACATGGGCAAAGACAGTGAGACCTGGAGTTGGCGTGGCTGGGAGAAACCCGAGTGGTGTTGGATGATTGTCCATAACAATCATCACAGATTGTCCATAACGAACACCATGCTCTTTGTGGTGAAGAGAGCTGAGCCAAAAAAAGAAGCTCTCGATTTACAGGTCGATCTACGTTCCTACCCTCATCTATGGTCATGAGCTTTGGGTCATGACCGAAAGAACGAGATCACGTATACAAGTGGCTGATATGGGGTTTCTTTATAGGGTGGCTGGGCTCTCCCTTAGAGATAAGGGGAGAAGCTTGGTCATCCAGGATGAACTCAGATGTGGAGGAGCCTCTGCTCCTCCACATCGAGATGAGCCAGTTGAGACTCAGGCATCAGGAGGATGCCTGAGTCTCCTGGATGCCTCCCTGGTGAGGCGTGTCGGGTAAGAAACAGAAGAAAACTGACCAGCAGTAGAAGGGTTAAGAACACGACGGAACCGAGCTGCAACGCAGGACAGTGTTATTTTAAATAAAACAGGCATGTCATCTGAAAATAATGAGTCACCAATCACAAAATTAAAAACTGGTAGACCATAAAATAAAACCAGATCAAGAGTGTGTCCATGTGCACTCATGATGGACACACTCCATCATGAGTGTTTTTGCAGTCTGTGACTAGTCCCAGTCACAGACTGATGGACACACTCATGATGGAGTGTGTCCATCAGTGGACACACTCATCACACACTGATGTGCCCATCAGTGTGTGATGAGTGTGTCCATTATGATTGTGATGGACACACTCATGATGAAGTGTGTCCATCATGAGTGTGTCCATCAGTCTGTGACTAGTCCCAGTCACAGACTGATGGACACACTCATGATGGAGTGTGTCCATCAGTGGACACACTGATGTGTCCATCAGTGTGTGATGAGTGTGTCCATTATGATTGTGATGGACACACTCATGATGAAGTGTGTCCATCAGTGGACACAATCACACACTGATGTGCCCATCAGTGTGTGATGAGTGTGTCCATTATGATTGTGATGGACACACTCATGATGAAGTGTGTCCATCAGTTTGTGACTAGTCCCAGTCACAGACTGATGGACACACTCCATCATGAGACACACTCATGATGAAGTGTGTCCATCATGAGTGTGTATGGAGTGTGTCCATCAGTGGACACACTCATCACACACTGATGTGTCCATCAGTGGACACAATCACACACTGATGTGTCCATTATGATTGTGATGGACACACTCATGATGAAGTGTGTCCATCAGTTTGTGACTAGTCCCAGTCACAGACTGATGGACACATCAGTGTGTCCATCAGTGGAGACACTGATGTGTCCATCAGTTTGTGATGAGTGTGTCCATTATGATTGTGATGGACACACTCATGATGGAGTGTGTCCATCATGAGTGTGTCCATCAGTCTGTGACTAGTCCCAGTCACAGACTGATGGACACACTCATGATGGAGTGTGTCCATCAGTCACACACTGATGGACACATCAGTGTGTCCATCAGTGGACACACTGATGTGCCCATCAGTGTGTGATGAGTGTGTCCATTATGATTGTGATGGACACACTCATGATGGAGTGTGTCCATCAGTCACACACTGATGGACACATCAGTGTGTCCATCAGTGGACACACTGATGTGCCCATCAGTGTGTGATGAGTGTGTCCATTATGATTGTGATGGACACACTCATGATGGAGTGTGTCCATCAGTCACACTGATGGACACATCAGTGTGTCCATCAGTGGAGACACTGATGTGTCCATCAGTTTGTGATGAGTGTGTCCATTATGATTGTGATGGACACACTCATGTTGGAGTGTGTCCATCTTGATCTGGTTTTATTTTATGGTCTACCAGTTTTTAATGTAATTGGTGACTCATTATTTTCAGATGACATGCCTGTTTTATTTAAAATAACCCTGTCCTGCGTTGCAGCTCGGTTCCGTCGTGTTCTTAACCCTTCCACTGCTGGTCAGTTTTCTTCTGTTTTTAATCAAAACTGTCCCATCTATGAGGCTGTGGGAAATAACACTGAGGAACTCAGCAACTGGTTTTATTCCACCAGTAAAGCAGGTCTGGATGTGGTGACACCACTAAATATCAGACTTTCAAAATCCAAGTCTGAACCCAGGTGAAATGAGGTCACTCGGTCCGCCATGAGAAACTGACACAGAGCTGAACGCAAAAGGAAAAAGGACATATTACTGGTGTCGCTCCAAATATTGAAGGAATGCTGGCGCCGTTACCAAAGGACTGTAAAAGACGCCCAAAATAGACACCTGTTGGATCACAGATTGTGACTGTTTGTTGTGTCAAACACTCACATGACAAAAACATTAAATTGCCCCCTCACCCTTCACAACTACTGTTATAATTTCTTCAGTCTATCTCACCCATATAAAGCATCACAATTTTAAGGGCATGCAACTGCCTACCTTTATTTGCTCCAACACTGATGCTATTACAATATTTACTGCTCAGGGTTTTTACATGCAGCAGTCCGCATACAATACAGCAAATAGGTTGCATACATTTTTTTGTTATCAGCTTGAGCTTACGAAAAGGTCTCTCCCCACTTGCAACAGTTGCTCACAATGTGCAAAATATACATGAAGCAACCCAGACTAGTCAAAAAATGCAATATAGTCGCATTTTATTGCAGTATATAATGCCAATAAAAAAAATAAATGTTTTCTCCATGTTTGTTAAAGTTGTCACCATGTTGTGACAGTTTGCTATGAAACAGATAATCTGTGAAAAAAAAATCTATCTCCTCCCTGAACTGCTATTAATAGCTAAAGTAACGCAACGTTCTGACCAAAAACAACCAATCAGAACCTGGAGGAGGGTCTTAGCGCTGTCAATCAATCTCATTCACTCCCTGCTAATTGTGCTAACGGCGGAGAGACAACTTGTTACAGGAAAACTGTTTATCTGCAATCAGTTACGCTAACAAAACTGAGCATTCACATCAGTTGGAGCATCGCACAGAGCGAGTGGCAGCGGGGTGAGCAGCCACATGAGATTGTGATTGACAACACTAAACCCCACCTCCTGCCTCTGATTGGTTGTTTCTAGAAATGAATTGTTCACATATTATCTCTCACGCCAAACTTTCACAACATAATGACAGTTTCAACAAAAATGTCAAAAAAAGATTTTTTTAAATAAAAGTTACATACTGCAGCTTTGATTTCCCTTACAAGAGGGCGGGAACAGATATCTGCCCCGCCCTCTAAATTTTTCCTGTAATTTAGTCTCAAGCCAGGGTAAAACTGTGAACTGGCTGCATTTCAGGGAGGAGGATGTTTATCATCATTTTATAAAGATTGATTGAATTTCTGTCAGTAATAAAAATATCACTGTTTTTGTTGTGTAATTGTAAAAAAGACAAAGACACAGAGAAATCCTTATGGATTCCCTGGAATGATGCTAACAAGCTTGTCATTGAACACAGTGTTGCTCACCTTTATCTTTTTACGGGGTTAAAGGTTATGCTGGGGTTAGAGCTGCTGCTGACAGACTCACCTGTTCATAAGTGTGGTAAAAGGTACAGGGATAAGTTAAATATATGATTATATTGGTATTTCTTTTCCTTCATTCATTAAATGCTAGTGAAATGGAGGCAAACAGTTAAATCCCTGCTGGACGCGATGCTGTTCTCAGAGGCTTTTGCACAATCTATTTATTTAATTTGGATTTTTTTATTTTTTTTATTTATTTTTGTTTTTATGAGGTGACCTTGTGCCCCGAAAGCACATTTTACATAAAATATAGAATTGTTGTTATTATAAATACCCTGCTACAAACTGGGACGTTGCCATGGTTACTGCTTCCTGAACACACTTCCGGGTATTCATACTAATTTGCATACCGTATTTTCCGGACTATAAGATGCAGTTTTTTTCATAGTTTGGCCGGCGGTGCGACATATACTCAGGAGCGACTTATGTGTGGAAATTAACAATTGTATCTCGTCAATCTCAAATTGTGATAGCAGTTGCCGTTTGCGGATGTTGGAACACTGAGCTACTAGTTGTTTAGCGCTTAGTGTTGACTGGGGATGTCGAAGTAACCATTCCTTCCCCAGTCTTTGCATGTAACCTCTCTCACTAGGGTTACTTGAGTAGTAGCATTCCAACAGATCCACATTTTCATCTCTCGCCCATTTCCGTCTTGTTCCAGTAGCCCATTTGTCATCAAGGTGCTCTGGTTCCCCAACACCTGACGCAGACCTTGTTTGGCCGGGCGACGTCTGAGCCGGCATGTTATGCAACTTAGTATCTCTCATGGTATGAGGTAGGCAGTAGCTTGAAGGGTCTTGCCTAAGGACCCAGACTGGATTCGAACCCTGCCCTCTCGGGTGATATACTGATGCCTTATGTATTGAGCTATCCAGTCAGCTATATATATATATATATATATATATATATATATATATATATATATATATATATATATATATATATATATATATATATATATATATATATATATATATATATATATATATATATATATATATATATATATATATATATATGTTTTTTTTTATTTTATTCAATATCAATATTTGTCAAAGTTAATCTAATAAAAAAAAACACAGTGACGTCAGTTCCAAAGCGCTATTGTGTCAGACTCATCTCCCGCTGAAGAGGATCCAGCGACATCAAGAGATTACGGAAAATCACGCGAGATAACTGGCTCGCACCTTGTTGGGTTTTTTCAAGGGCAGGGGAGATTCCTGGCGTGCATCTACTTAATTTGAAGAAGGTAAGAGTCAAACTATTTTCATCCAAATCCATATAAAAATATGTAACTTAAAATTTCTCTACCATTTGCACCATTTTCTACTTGTTCCATACTTGTGTCACATTATTTCATGTTCTGTAGATTAAGTCGGTTAGGTTAAGGCAGATAGCTATATGTGATATCATTGGTAAGTTTACATTTATCGCCGCACCATGTTAGGTACATTCTGTGCGAAAAAAGTCTGCAGAGCCATATGTAGTGTACAAAGCTGCTGCCAGAGACACAAATGGACCCCAGAAATGTCACAGTTTTGCTCCTCCTGAGCTCCCTGGAGGTTTAGTGGATTTTTAACACACTGATCTAACATCAGTCTATTTCTAACTATTTTAATTCTATTTCAGTAATGTTACTATGGAGGTAAATGTAGATACACACACACACTTTGGTACCTTTCTATCATCATCGAGATTCTTAATTAATTATGGTAATAAAAAGTCCTACATTTCAGTCGGTGAAACCTGCAGAAAGCATTGCTTTCTGAGCTTTGTTAAATGTTCCTAAAATACCTGTTAGTTATGGATTTCTAGTATATTTTGTCAGGCTAAAACTCTCAATGGATTATCCATTATTACAGACTTGAGCTTTCTATTTTT